GATGTCTCAAGCCCTACATGGTATGCAGCAGGGGCGGAAGTAGTAGTGGGAGCTGCAGCAGCAGCAGCAGCAGCAGCAGCAGCAGGTGCTGTTGATGCATCCAGCATCAACGACAGCATCCTTTCTTGTCGCCGCAGCAGTTGCTGCCGCTCTTCTTGCTGTTGCTGCTGCTGCTGCTGTTCCTGCTGCTGCTGCTGCTGTTGCTGCTGCTGCTGTTCTCGCTGCTGCTGCTGCTCCTGTTGCTGCTGCAGTTCTTGCTGCTGCTGCTGCTGCTGCTGCAAGTCTGCATATGACAACACTGCCGCAGCAGTACTGCTGCTGCTGCTGCTGCTGCTGTTGCTGCTGCTGCTGCTGCTGCTGCTGCTGCTGCCGCTGCTGCTCATCGGACCTCCCCTACGAAAACCAAATTACTATGCGGCGCCTTGGGCCGCAGCAGCAGCAGCAGCTGCTGCTGCTGCTGTAGAGGGTGTTGCTTCAGCTGCTGCTGCTGCTGCTGCTGCTGCTGCTGCTGCTGCTGTATGATGAAAAAGAATGTGTGCTGCAGCCTGTAGAAGACAATCCGCAGCTCACCAGGGGAGCTGCTGCTGCTGCTGCTGCTGCTGCTGCTGTTGCTGCTGCAGCTGCTCCTGCTATTGCTACTGCAGCTGCTGTTGCTGTACTGCTGCTGCTGCTGCCACTGCTACAGCAGCAAGCTCATCAAAAGTGCTGCTGCTGCTGCTGCTGCTGCTGCTGCTGCTGCAGCAGCGAAGCTAAGTGGCAGCCGCTTGAACTGTTGCATGCGCTGTCTTTGCTGCAGTTGCTGCTGCTGCTGCTGCTGCAGTTGCTGCTGCAGTTGCTGCTGCTGCTGCGGCCTAAGCAGCAGATTTTCCTGCACTTGGCCGATTGCAAGCCGCTGCTGTGTCCTCGCAGCAGCTGCAGCAGCAGCAGCAGCAGCAGCAGCAGCAGCAGCAGCAGCAGCGGCTGCAGCGTTTACTTCTGCTGTTAAAAAAAAAGGTCAAGTGGGTCGCATGCACATACCGCTTGGCTTCAAAGAAAACTTGTGCTGCTGCTGCTGCTGCTGCTGCTGCTGCTGCAGCTGCTGCTGCTATCGCTGCTGCTGCTGCTGCTGCTGCTGCTGCTGCCACGCTGCTGCTGCTTCAGTCTGCTGAGGGCCCCCTACAGGAGGCAGCGATACGAAAGGCCAATTAAAAACGAAAATAACAAAAAAGCAGCAGCTGCTGCTGTTGCTGCAGCAGCATAATCTCGTGATCGCCTGCTGCTGCTGCTGCTGCTGCTGCTGTGCTGCTGCTGCTGCTGCTGCTGCTGCGGCTGCTGCTGCTGCTACGGGTCTGCCTAGCATACATGCAGCAGCAACCCCACGCTGCTGCAGCAGCAGCAGCAGACAGAGCTACATAACAAAGCTAATGAGTCAATTAAATACATATAAACTCTTATATATGTTTTTGCTGCTGCAGCACCAGCCATTGCTGCGGTTCTGCTGCTGCAGCTAGTTGCTGCTGCACCAGCAAACAGCAGCAGCAGCAGCAGCAGCAGCAGCAGGGCCCCAGAGCCCCCGTCTTCTGCTGCCCCCCAAAACTTTATTTATTTTTATATAGAGGAAACAGCAGCAGAAACAAAAGAAGCAGCAACTGCAGCAACTGCAGCAGCAACAGCAGCAGCAGGATCTGCTTCCTAAGCAGCAGCCAGCAGCTGCGACGAGAAACAGCAGCAGCAGCAGCAGCAGCAGCAGCACGAGCAGCAGCAACAGCAGCAGCACCATCTATATTTGCTGCTTCTCGTTGTCTTTGACTCCTCCCTCGGCCGTCACACCCAGCGGAAGAATTTCTGCTGCTGCTGCTGCTGCTGCTGTTGCTGCTGCTGCTGCTGCTGCTGCTGCTGCTGTGGGGTCGCTGCAGCGCAGCAGGAAGCAAAGAAGCCTCCGCGATAGCAGCAGAAATAACACAAGCAGCAGAAGCAGCTACACATAACGCATGCAGCTGCAGCAACAACAGCAGTAGCAGCAGCAGCAGCAACAGCAGCAGCAGCAGCAGCAGCAACAGCACAAGCAGCAGCAGCACCACTACTCCACGACCGCCATCAGCACCACCAACTGCAG